TTGTGGTGGAAGGCCTTGACATCCTACATTGTGACACTATACGGGGGGTGTGGAGGGCCATCAGCGAGGGCAGCAGATGATGGCAGCATTACAGAGGGCGTGACGGAGCAGCCATCACCACCAGCAGGTCAAGAGGGTACACAGGGTGAAGGTGGCACCATGGGGGAGTGAAGGTGAGTGAGCGTCATCATAGCCAACAGGTCCACGAAGATATATCACAGTCAGGATCATCCAGCAACTCCAGCACAAACTTGGCCAGTTCTCTCACGTGCTCCACTGTCGCTCCAGGGGTCATTACCTGGCAGGAGGTTGGCCTCTTTACTCGGGGTGCTCATAATCATTTCATAGGATTACAGCCCGTACTGCCATCTCTCTTACTCCAGAATGTTGCAATGTTATTTTGCAGGCTCCACCTGCCCTTTCAATGGGGGGTGGAGGGGTGAGGGGTGTACTCACCTAGTTATGCTTGCGGGGGTTGAGCTCTGGCTCTTTGGTCCCGCCTCTCAACTGTCAATCAACAGGTGTACAGATTCCTGAGCCTATTGGGCTCTATCATATCTACATTTGAAACTGTGTATGGAGTCAGCCTCCACCACATCACTTCCTAATGCATTCCATTTGTCAACCACTCTAACACTAAAAAAGTTCTTTCTAATATCTGTGGCTCATTTGGGCACTCAGTTTCCAGCTGTGTATAGCAATACAATCTGCAGCGTTGTGGTTGGCGCTTTCAACTCTCGGGACGAGTTCTACTCCCCGAGCTCGGCCCGAGACCAGGCTCGACTTGTCATAACTTGGTCCAACAGGCTGTTGCTTGCACTTGCATCTCCTCGGTATGGCAAGATGTTTGGGCACGTTGCTATACACCTGATGCTTCTGTTTACTAGCAGGCAACAGAGGCACCAGCGAGGTGAGCAACTGTTGCGTCCTGGGGAACCACCAGCGGCTCAGGTCTCGGGTCTCCCGCCCCCGACACTGGGAGGCCAGACAAGCGAGGACCTCGGGGCGAGTACTCTGCTCTGCGCCACACCACAACCACGCCTCGCCTCTCTAATTCTTACATTTATATTAAGATTTAGTTTATTAGGTAGCCGAGTATCTTAATAGTCAGCCCTTGAATGGGGGTGTTGAGAGTGTGCCAGTCACGCCACGCAACACCTTTCCCATGTGAGGGGGGAGTTCTCTCTCTCTGAGAGAACTATCAACATCAGAGGCCCGAGACTGTTCAACACGCTTCCACTACACATAAGGGGCATAACTGGCCGACCCCTCACAGTGTTCAAGAGAGAACTGGATAAACACCTCCAAAGGATACTTGATCAACCAGGCTGTGACTCATACGTCAGGCTGCGAGCAGCCGCGTCCAACAGCCTGGTTGATCAGTCCAGCAACCAAGAGGCCTGGTTGACGACCGGGCCGCGGGGACGCTAAGCCCCGGAAGGACCTCAAGGTAAGGTAATGTTGCGAAAGTTACGGCAGCGTGTTACCGGTCTCCAAGTACATCCTCCACCACCAGCTGGGGCCGCCACCACCACCACCAGCTGGAGCCGCCACCACCACCACCAGCTGGGGCCGCCGCCGCCACCACCACCAGCTGGAGCCGCCGCCGCCACCACCACCAGCTGGGGCCGCCGCCGCCACCACCACCACCAGCTGGGGCCGCCGCCGCCACCACCACCACCACCAGCTGGGGCCGCCGCCGCCACCACCACCAGCTGGGGCCGCCGCCGCCACCACCACCAGCTGGGGCCGCCGCCGCCACCACCACCAGCTGGGGCCGCCGCCACCACCACCACCAGCTGGGGCCGCCGCCGCCACCACCACCAGCTGGGGCCGCCGCCGCCACCACCACCAGCTGGGGCCGCCGCCGCCACCACCACCAGCTGGGGCCGCCGCCACCACCACCACCAGCTGGAGCCGCCGCCACCACCACCACCAGCTGGAGCCGCCGCCGCCACCACCACCAGCTGGGGCCGCCACCACCACCACCACCAGCTGGGGCCGCCACCACCACCACCAGCTGGGGCCGCCACCACCACCACCAGCTGGGGCCGCCACCACCACCACCAGCTGGAGCCGCCACCACCACCAGCTGGAGCCGCCACCACCACCAGCTGGAGCCGCCACCACCATCAGCTGGAGCCGCCACCACCACCAGCTGGAGCCGCCACCACCACCAGCTGGAGCCGCCACCACCACCAGCTGGAGCCGCCACCACCACCAGCTGGGGCCGCCACCACCACCACCAGCTGGAGCCGCCACCACCACCACCAGCTGGAGCCGCCACCACCACCACCAGCTGGAGCCGCCACCACCACCAGCTGGAGCCGCCACCACCACCAGCTGGAGCCGCCACCACCACCAGCTGGAGCCGCCGCCACCACCAGCTGGAGCCGCCACCACCAGCTGGAGCCGCCACCACCAGCTGGAGCCGCCACCACCAGCTGGAGCCGCCACCACCAGCTGGAGCCGCCACCACCACCAGCTGGAGCCGCCACCACCACCAGCTGGAGCCGCCACCACCACCACCAGCCACTAAGATTTCGATGATTTCAATGCCACCAAGTCGTCATTCGCGACAAGATGGCTGTGCAAGGCATACATGGGCGCCCGTCTGTACACAGCCACGCGGCGAGCAGTACCCGGTGTAATCAGCTGTTGAGGCATTAGCGAGGGTGGTCGTGGTTGAAGGTAATGAGTACGTGAACCCCTTTTACAGTGCTGAAATAATCTAAGATACTTTTAAAATCCCGGAAACAACGGCATCATTATTCTCCAGTAATTGCCTTCTGTGCTACCCAGACCAAGCTGTGAAGCTCATCATCACTGTGATGAAGCCCGCGGTTATTTCAACACGTGTAGACTGTAAGGTTGTGCGGGAAAATTACTGCACCAACCTTTCTCTTTGGAGCTCCCGTGAGTCCTTAGATACGGGAGTGTCAGGCAGCTGTGTAGCGCGGCACAGCTGCAGGGTGAAGGTTAGGGCACCTTACGCAGCCCGTCCTCCTAAGGTTCCCCAACGTCAAGAAACTGTCGTACTAACCCAAACAGAAAACGGGACAGAACGCCAATTTCGAGAGTCGCTTCCATTTTCTAGTACGACGATTCTTGGCCTCAGGTAATGTATACGTCATAATGCGACGCTGTGTTGGGAGGACGGGTTGTGGAGTCTTGAGTATCGTCTACGGGAGAGTGTTGTTTGACAGCTTTGTGTATGAAGCTTCACTCAGTGAAGAGAAATTCCCGCTGCAGGCAATGAGTCACAATAACGTGGCTGAAGTATGTTGACCAGACCACACACTAGAAGGTGAAGGGACGACGACGTTCCGGTCTGTCCTGGACCATTCTCAAGTCGATTCAAGTCTGAATCGACTTTAGAATGGTCCAGGACGGATCGAAACGTCGTCGTCCCTTCACTTTCTAGTGTGTGGTCTGGTCAACAAATCCCCGTTATGTTGTAGAGAGTAATTAATTAGTTACTATAATTATCACATGGTTGTACGAGTGATCCTTCTCCCTCGTACACAAGCCGTCGTCCACGTATAAGGGAACCACATCATTTCTGGCCATATATGAGTAGTGATGGAAACGAGTACCCTAACTCCCGGCTTTACAGGACGAGTTGGACACCACCAACACTCTGGCGGGATTCACTTTAATTTGCGCTGTTGCTCTAAGCTTTCACTTATGGCAATAACTACTGTGAGTGGTCAATAACAATACATTGGCGACATAGCAAACACAGGAGGTCCAAGCAAGTAATTTCAGACACTCCCGGGCCGGGCTTGGAGAGTAGAACAACTCTCAGAACCCACTCCAGGTATACTCCAGGTAGTCTTTTGCAAGCTCTCCTCTTAGATGAGCACGCGTCATCCCTGCACACAGGCTCCGTCAAACACATCGCTGTAGAAAATGCACGCCATTTCCCGCATGAACCACGTGCTGGAATGATGGACCCATCAACCACGTGCCACATGCTAGGAAGATGTTCCTGCAAGCAATCTTACGTGACAAGATTCAGGAGTTCAGAAACGTGTCGCCGCAAGATGAAAATGTAAAGAGGTTTTTCCCCATGCCTTCGTGCACTACCAGAGGCATCGTGGAGGCCGCCCGAGCCGCCGCCGCCACCACCCTATATACACCGGTACTATACAAGTCATCAACTTACACAGTGAGCGATGCACACACTTGAGCCCTGGCGACCCAAGGCCACCTACTGGGCACGTCCCCCGGCCTCACCTCCGGTCCTCTTAACCTGTATATTTAAGGCAGCGACCTTAACTGGCAAGGTTCACACCAAGACGAGGCGGAAGTAACCAGAGACGTCTTTAGCATACAGTGATCAAGATTTGATGTCTTCAACAAGAAGTACACATACACATGACAAGAAACTTGCAAAGTTTTAAGTATGAACCTTAGATTAGTTGCTACATATATATAAATGGGCAAAAATCTAAATTCTGAAGCTTAATTTTAAATTGTAGAAGAGATCGGTGAAATGTAAATATTCAGAACTCTGAAATTCGTTCCTTTTAACGGACTGTGTATCAGAATTTAGACTCTCCACACATGCAGGCACTAAGACGGAGCAGAAGACTATATATCCTACTTCTGGCGGTAGTGTGGCTGTGGTGTGGCCAGCCGACACACCCTCACTACGCCTACCCCACACCACACATGACAAGGATCAGCGAGGGTAACCTAGCATTTCATTCTAAAGCACATGACCTAATATGTGCATGCTCTAAAAGGGAGAATTATATATGTATTTATACATACAATATACACACACATACATATATACAGATTTCATTTAGGGTGGGAAATTTAATAGTTATATATCTTTGAATTCGTGCACATTGCCTCCTGCAGGAGACACTTCGGGGACAGGGGGGCCTGACAGGAGCAGCAAGCACACCCGGGACATGCACCATGGGACAGGGGGCCTGACAGGAGCAGCAAGCACACCCGGGACATGCACATTAGACAGGACTACATACCCGGTACCACAGCGCCACCTGGAGGGGATAGAAAATGGGAGAAAAAAGGAAAACGTTAGCCAAACCACCAGGGGAAACTGAAGCCGTTGGTAAGAGACACACTTGCATGTGCGCGTAAAGGAACAGTCATCTCTTACTGATGTCCAAAGGGAAACTGGTGGTTCCCTTTGAGCATCGGCAGAGGTGGGTGATGAGATGGTCGACGAACGAAAAGTGTTCAATGTAGTTCTATTAAGGTTTGTTTCTCGCTAGAGTGACAAAGGAGGGGAAAAATAACCTCACAAAACAAATTCAACAAATTCGTATCGATGATCTCATCAACTGATATTAATAAAGTATTAAATAAAAAACAACAATCAAAATTCTAACTGTAAAAAATAACCACAATGCAAAATGTAAATTATTAAACAATAAAAACATATGTAAACAAGGATTAACCTAACACGGTATGAAACGCAAGCAAAAGCCAATCAAGGGTGAGCTCTAGGGAGAGGTGCTAGTGTGTGTGTGCTTACCAACCGCTACACCACGCGACATCAGTGTCCAGGACAAGCACAGAGTCACAAAGTTTTGCTCTATACAGGCTCTACTGGGCCCCGCATATTGACCACTTCACTAGAAGCAAGTCTCTACCTGATATACATCTAAAAGGCCATTTGCAAAAAAGTTAATATTTCGTACACCTTCAATAAACGTTACACAAACTTAAAAGCCGAAATGAAAGGCGATATTCATGCATTTTTCCTTAAACAAAAAAGCGTGCACAAGTATATATGAACCAGCTCCCTCAACGCTGACCCGTTCACAAGAATGCTCGCATGAGGCTACCACGAAATAATAACCCACTAAATGGCCCAAGTCAATATTCACAAAACTTTTCTATATAGCCACTACTTATGCATATCGTGCAAAAAATATAAAAGCCATTATTGGGCTGGGATACGAGGTGGCTTGTTGAAGATGGCCTGCACGGAGCCGCCACGTGTGGCATCAGCTGTTCAATGTTTACGGTAGCTGCCAAAAGTTTGGACGTCCCCGCTGCCTGGACACGACGACTCGTTTGCATAGATTCTCTCATCGTCAATCGGGGAAGGATCAAGTTGGGATAAAACAAAAATAGTAACACGCCAAATATAGTAAATTTGTGAGATAAAATTTTGGAAAAAAATACTCGACATTAATAGGTAGTAACAAAGTAGTGAGCGCTTTTAATATTTGTGGAGAGACTTATGGCAACACCTCAGTACGAGTAGTTTACTGGAGGTGCGCGGCAGCAAGCCAAGCCCGTCCATAAACCATAAAGAGCGCCATATAAGCCCACAACAGTGAAGTGCATACACACACACACATATATATTATATACACAGTTCATATCGGTACTCTAGACCCAGGAACAAACTAGTGTATTATACAGAAGGCAAGAGTTAGAACATCCGGTAGTGAGGTTACACACAGTTGTGACGGGAGAGAAATGGTGCCGATTTACTAAGGGGAAAACAGTGTTAATAATCGGTAAATAGGACGGTGTTAATGAATATATTCTAAGAATCATTTACATACTCAATACAGCCGTGACATGCACTATATGCGTAAACAATACACGTGACATTTGTTTTAAAAACAAAGTTGATGGTAAGGGAGGCATGAGCTTATAAATAACGTTAAAAGTAAAACAAGGTGATGTATCGAGAGAAGCTGTCATATACAGGTGATGGAGCGCCAGTAAGTGCTCCATTCATCCTTAGTAATATGGAGCAAGACGGTCGCTGGGGTTCCGCAGGGTGTCCCCGCAGGGTGTCCCCGCAGGGTGTCCCCGCAGGGTGTCCCCGCAGGGTGTCCCCGCAGGGTGTCCCCGCAGGGTGTCCCCGCAGGGTGTCCCCGCAGGGTGTCCCCGCAGGGTGTCCCCGCAGGGGGGGGGGGGTCCTACAAGGATTCGCTACTCTATCTCGTTTCCGATACAGGTAAACTATCTGCCAGTTGAATAGACTTGTTTCAATGTTTACTGATGACGCAAAGTCTCGCGAAGGTTAAATACACATGAAATATTACCAGAAACTACAAGACTACCCTGAGAAAGGATAACACTGATGCAGCAAGTGGCTGCTAGAGTTTAACTTTAGTAAATATTCAGCTGGACACAGGAGGACGGACACACGGTAATGCCAGAGGAAACAGTCCTGCAATCAAACTGAAAACTACCTGCAGGTGACACCACAAAACCTGCCACCCGAACCTTACATCAAGCGGTTATAAACAGTTGCATGTGCAAAGACGCTAACAAGATCTGCATTTAGACATGTAACAGAGCCATTTAGGACCACCATACTACACAGACCAATTCTGGTCTTCATCTCGCAACACACAACGAAGCTGACAAAAAGTCCAGAGGTGTGCCACCAGACTGATGCCAGCTATGAGAGGTACAAGATACAAGGAAAGGCTAAAGAATAAATCTTATCACTGGAATACAGAAGACCTCAGGGGAGACAACATACAACATTCTCATTTCGACCACGTACGAAACTCGGTCAAATCATAACAGAGAACGAAAAGCCAATGTAAAGGCCTTGGGTGTACTCATGTCGGAAGACCTTACATTTAAAGAACACAATAAAGTAGCCGTCACAACTGCAAGAAAAATGGCAGGTTGGATAACAAGAACTTTTCACACTAGAGATGCTATACCAATGATGATACTCTTCAAGACGCTAGTGCTCTCTAGAGTGGAGTACTGCTGCACAATGACAGCCCCTTTCAAAGCTGGAGAAATTGTTGACCTGGAGAGCGTGCAGAGATCCTTTACTGCTAAAATCCACTCGCTTAAACATCTAAACTATTGGGACCGACTAAAGTGCCTAAATCTGTATTCTCTTGAGCGCAGGCGGGAGAGATGCATAATAATTTACACGTGGAAGATAGTAGAGGGGCTGGTCCCAAACCTGCACACATAAATAACACCGCATGAGACCAGGAGGCATGGCAGGATGTGCAGAATACCCCCGTTGAAGAGCAGAGGTGCAACAGGTACTCTGAGAGAGAACTCTATCAACATCAGAGGCCCGAGACTGTTCAACACGCTTCCACTACACATAAGGGTCATAACTGACCGACCCCTCGCAGTGTTCAAGAGAGAACTGGATAAGCACCTCCAAAGGATACCTGATCAACCAGGCTGTGATTCATACGTCAGGCTGCGAGCAGCCGCGTCCAACAGCCTGGTTGACCAGTCCAGCAACGAGGAGGCCTGGTTGAGGACCGGACCGCGGGGACGTTGAGCCCCGAAATCATGGCAAGGTAACCGCAAGGTAAAGCAACCCTCATGAAGGGAAGGCGCGCGTGCGCACCCGCGCGCTCTTAAACCTCTACACTTGAGGCCCCGGCCAGTAATCTTAATCCGGAGGGGACAGGGCTCTTGTCCGATGGACTTTAGAACTTATTGTTGGAGAAAAGAGAGAAGTCTGTGAGTGGGGAGGAGAGAGAGAGACGGAAGCCTCCAGTAGAAAAGGAGGAAACATGATGAACTAAAAACATCATGGAACTAATTCATAAGATACTTCAGAGCAAAACAATGGCCTTTACCGAGTGGCCGGTAAAGCGACGGTCTCACTTCATGCAGGTCGGCGTTCAATCCCCGACAGTTAAAGTGGTTGGGCACCATTCCTCCCCCCCCCCCTAAATCCTTATCCTGACCCCTTCCCAGTGCTATAAAGTCGTAATGGCTTGGCGCTTTCCAATGATAGCAGTTGTACCCTAAAAAAAAGGCTGAATATCGTATAGGATAAAGCTAGCCATACAACCAAAGAGCCAGCTAGCAAACCAGTCAACCAACTAGAGCCACCCGGCCAACCATGCACCAGTCAACCAACTAGACCCACCCGGCCAACCGTGCACCAGTCAACCAACTAGAGCCACCCGGCCAACCATGCACCAGTCAACCAGCCAATAATAATGACCAGAGAAACTTGTACAAAATACATCACCAGAATTGACGAAAAAGCCATAAAAGCCAGCAAGGTGACGAGGCGTGTGGACCACTGGACGTTTAGCACCCCGGTAAACATGGAGGTGGAAGAGCCACACAGCTTCATGGAGGAAGTAACAGTGAACTGTTGTGTACCTCAGGGCACAGTGAAGACTTGTGTACCTCAGGGCACAGTGAAGACTTGTGTACCTCAGGGCACAGTGAAGACTTGTGTACCTCAGGGCACAGTGAAGACTTGTGTACCTCAGGGCACAGTGAAGACTTGTGTACCTCAGGGCACAGTGAAGACTTGTGTACCTCAGGGCACAGTGAAGACTTGTGTACCTCAGGGCACAGTGAAGACTTGTGTACCTCAGGGCACAGTCTTGCAGCGCTGCCTTTTATCCTCCTAATATTAGACAAAAAGACAGGTCCCAGCTTCGTGTCAGCCCTTGCAGACTATATCACAAATGGCATGAAAATTACCTCGATAAAAACTGAACAAATCCAGAAACAGCAGGTATGGAAAACCATTTACTTATACGAGGAGGCCTGGTCGACGACCGGGCCGCGGGGACGCTAAGCCCCGGAAGCACCTCAAGGTAAGGTACGGCCTGCAGGGTACAAGACACAATCACATCCAATCATACAAGGAAAACAATGTCAAGCATCTGGGTATAATGTTGACAGAAGATCTAAGACTTCAGAGATCACAAACAAGCTAATATAGCACCAGACAGGCCAATGACAGCATGAATTATGAGAACCTTCAAATCTTGGGATTCCATTACAATGGCTCAAGTAGTTTAAACCACTGATGCTGTCCCGTCTAGAGTACTGCCCAGTACTCGCTTCTCTCTTCAGAGCGGGGAAAGATTCCTGAAATAGAGGGAATACAGGTAATCTGTACGACACTCACAGACCAAGATAAAACACCTAAACTATTGGGACCGTCTCAAAGCTCTCAAGAATGTACCATTTAGGTACCAACATACATTCATAACTCATTGTACCTTTTTGTACATATATAAATAAATATATACTTGGAAGATACTCGAAAGTCAGATGTCAAATATACAAAGTACAACATTCACTGGAGCACAGGAGTAAAATGTAGAGCAGACCCGGGAAGAGCAGACCACACACACACACACACACACACACACACACACACACACACACACACACACACACACACACACACACACACACACACACACGAGGCTGACTCCATACACAGTTTCAAGTATAGATATGATAGAGCCCAATAGGCTCAGGAACCTGTACACCTGTTGATTGACGGTTGAGAGGCGGGACCAGAGAGCCAGAGCTCAACCCCCGCAAACACAACTAGGCGAGTACTATGTGAGTACGTACACACACACACACACACACACACACACACACACACACACACACACACACACACACACGCGCGCGCGCGCTTCATCAATATCCCAGCCTCACGGCTCCTCGACCTCCTCCCACCAAACATTACCAGAACATACGCGGAGGAGTACCAGAGAAAACTGAGCTAGTGCCTACAGGAAGCATCAGACCAACCGGGTTGTAGTGTGCAGCGGCCCGCACGCCCACAAGAGTCTGACCGATCAATAAGCCACCAGACAAGCCTGGCCTCAGGCCGGACTTGAAGGGCCAACCAACTCACCAGAGGCCGAGGCCACATGTGTACAAATACACAACTACTCACTCACACGCCATAGTGAGTAATGCAACTGTGGCCAAACGTACAAACTCACTCTCTCCCAAAACAATTCACATTTTGTACTATTAGGCCTAAGAAAGCATATTAGGATTGCTAGTTTAGGCCTAGGTTATTAGTTTAATTTTCGCGCGTCATTTGAAGTATTCCAAAAGTAGAAAAGGCGAACTTGGGTCCAACGGTTCATTTCTGTACGTTGGAGCAACAGTTGGTGAAGTATCACTCGAGGAGGACGGGCGGTGGTATGGCTCAACTGCCTTCACTACTTCACTACCAGTCCACTGAATGTAAAGAGGCGGAACCAAAGAGTTAAGCTCAACCCCCCCGCAAGCACAATTAGGAGAGCTTAAAAATAACCCCTCCCCCCCTCCCGGCCACCCCCCTCACACCCATCACAATCAACCGCACGCACATGCTCACAAGTGTACACACATGCGCCCGCACGCACACGCACGAGTGGTATACCAACAGTAAGGGTAGAGTTGGAGAGAGTACAAAACTCATGGTTCAATCGGCAGTGCCAAGAAACACATACGAAAAGCAGGAGGAAGGAGCACAAACACACATCTAAGAACAGAAGAACATCAGAATGGAAACAACAAGGCTGTGTCCCCCCCCCCCCCCTGTTTGAGAGCTTTGAGACGATCCCAATAATTTAAGTGCTTTACGTCTATGCGTGCCGTACATGTCCTCTATATTCCCTCTATTTCAGCAATCTCTCCTGCTCTGAAGGTGGGTAGCGAGTACTGAACAGTACTCAAGACGGGACAACACAAGTGACTTGAAGAGTACAACCATTGTGATGGGATCCCTGGATTTGAAAGTTCTCGTAATCCATCCGATCATTTTTCTGGCTGACTCAATACTTGCTTGGTTATGCTCCCTAAACGTTAGGTCGTCGGACATCATTATTCCCAGATCCTTGACATGTTGCTTTCCTACTATGGGCAGAGTTGACCGTTTTGTGCATTATTTTGATTTAAGGTCTTTATATTAAATTTTCTGTTCTCCAGTCAATATGAGTCACATGTTAGAAAGTTTCTCATAACGTAATTGTGGGAACGTGGAATTAACTATATTGTGAACGCCGTTGACAATTTTAAAATGATAGGGAAATGGGTAAGGGGTTATTGCATTAGACAAGCGGCGAGAAAGGCGGGGTCCTAGAGATAAAGCTCGATCATGCAAGCACAAATAGACGAGTACACACAAGAGCGCGCACATGTGTGGGCAAACAAGTGTGCGCGAACACAAGCACACATAATTACACTTAAGATAACCTCATCCACGATAGCGAGATAAGATGCATCAGGCTGGCAGATAATCGCTGTCGTTCAGAAGACGCCCACAAACAATGCTTCAAAGTCAACGCTGCTGGAGATCATAGACTGACCAGCTCCAGGTAATATGCTGGAGACAGTTCTCCCATAACTCTCCTGCTGGCTAGGAGGACCACCACCGCACAGGTATTCTCTACCACAGCTAAGGGTGATGTATTGTTGCTGTTGATATAGTTGGCAGCGCCGACCACAGGATCGGATGCGCTCCGGCCATCCTCATAGAAAGTGGGTTCAAATCCAGTTTTCTTCCCCGAGTGATATCCGTATATAACATTATCGTGATGAATGAAAAAATATGCAAAGATTACCCTGTGGAGGGTAGCAACAGGCGGAGAACAGCGGGGCGAGGAGGTGGTTTAATGACCAGGGCTTAACCCAGCTGCTGGCGACACCAGCGAGCACTCTAAAGCACCCCTGGTGCTGGCTTACCTCTGGCGAGCACCGGGTGTATGTCCCCACCACACCACAGTACTCACACGCTCCTCACTATACACAGCCCGGCTGACACGCTCAAACCTCCCAAGGGGTCACATTTCAGGGAAATTAACGAAAACATTAGCTATAAACAGTCACAACACAAGACGCTCAGCCATCAACAGCCTGGTGCCGGCCGTGGCACTCTGGCACATCACTGTGATCATTGGCTCACTCGCATTTGGAACATGTTCTCTCAACATGTAAATATGTGAGAAGTGTGTGAGGCGAGCACATGAAGGCTCCGGCACACACTTGGCTCCAGCCTCCAAATTGCTGACCTGGAGAGCGTGCAGAGATCCTTTACTGCTAGAATCCACTCGGTAAAACATCTAAATTACTGGGACCGACTAAAGACCCTAAATCTGTACTCCCTTGAGCGCAGGCAGGAGAGATACATAATAATTTACACGTGGAAAATAATTGAGGGGCTGGTCCCAAACCTGCACACAGAAATAACATCACATGAGACCAGAAGGCATGGCAGGATGTGCAGAATACCCCCGTTGAAAAACAGAGGTGCAACAGGTACTCTGAGAGAGAACTCTATCAACATCAGAGGCCCGAGACTGTTTAACACGCTTCCACTACACATAAGGGACATAACTGGCAAACCCCTCACAGTGTTCAAGAGAACTGGATAAGCACCTCCAAAGGATACCTGATCAACCAGGCTGTGACTCATACGTCAGGCTGCGAGCAGCCGCGTCTAACAGCCTGGTTGATCAGTCCAGCAACCAGGAGGCCTGGTCGACGACCGGGCCGCGGGGACACTAAGCCCCGGAAGCACCTCAAGGTAGCCTCATCCACTAACTCTTAGCATTCTAACTTGCAGTAAATAAAGTGAATCCTTAATGTAAACAAATAAGATAACCAAATACATTAATATACAAGGTCAGGCGTTAGATAACCTGATGCAGGGTAACAGCTTTTAGCTTCTAGTTGCCTTAGGAACGGCAGTGATGTTTCTAATGAACCCTAGAAATAAAGAAAAACAAAGATTGAGGGGGGGGGAAGGAGAGAGAGGGGGCAGTTTAAAGATGACAGTCCCCCCCCCCCTCAAACAAAACTTTCACTTAATATCTTGCTGTGTGGAACAAAGAAACACTCAAGAAATAATACAATTACCTCGTCCCCCCCCCCCCAAGACAACATTACCACTTCGTAACTCCGCCCCGGAGCGCTCTTGTCCAGTCTAAGTCCTGCTGTGTGTGACAGTGACACGGTCACCGGTGACGTTCACACCAACGTCACGGGCTGAATACGTTGTTCAGCGAGAACTTTATCTTGTATGGATAAGACGCAGCGCCCCGTTGGTCTGTCAAACACCACTCACATACACCGACGTAAACATATGCTTTAATATACAGTAACATGCAGGTAGTCTGTACACATATTATGCGAGGGTGTTTGGTCCCTACCCTGAGCGGCCAACTACATACACAACTACATATAAAGGGGCAACTCGAATTTACATATGGAGTCAGCTTGTATGATCTCAAATGTGACATCAAATCAACTGAAAATGAAATCATTTCAAATACAAGTTGTGGGAGAGCGTCCAAAACCGCGCTTACCTTGGGAAGGGCGGCGAGCGCCTGCTGCTTCACGTCCCAGACCAGGTCATCCTTGTGGAACTGGAGGCACTTCTCCACCTTGAGTTCGGGCACGTTGATCCTGAGGACGACCTCCTCCCCGACGCTGGAGGCCGTCGACGACCCAGCGACAGAGACGGACCCGGAGGCCGAGCTCACACTCACGCCGTCCTCCATCACCGCGCTCCGAGACCTGCAACACAGAACAACGAAGCTGGAAAAAGTTCATTGGTGCCACTAGACTAGTCCCAGAACTAAGAGGCATGAGTTATGAAGAAAGGCTGCGTGAGATGCACCTTACGACACTGGAAGACAGAAGAGTAAGGGGAGACATGATCACTACCTACAATAATCTCAGGAATTGACAGGGTAGATAAGGATAAATTTTAACACGGATGGTAAGGGGACACAGGTAGAGACTGAGTACCCAAATGAGCCCCAGAGACGTTAGAAAGAACTTTTTCAGTGTCAGAGTAGTTAACAAGTGGAATGCTTTAGGCAGTGATGTGGTGGAGGCTGACTCCATACACAGTTTCAAATGTAGATATGATAGAGCCCAGTAGGCTCAGGAATCTGTACACCAGTTGATTGACAGTTGAGAGGCGGGACCAAAGAGCCAAAGCTCAACCCCCGCAAGCACAACTAGGCGAGTACACACACACGTCCATGGCAAGTCCGACACCAAACACGTACTTGTATATACTAACATTTTATATAATCAAAAATTATTTCCCTTAAAAAGAAGCATTACTGTAATTACAATTTTGTTTTTAGTTAGGCCTAGGAGAGGCAAGGTTAGGCGTCTAGGTTTTGTTGCGAAATATTAGCATTGACAGCATGTGGACGAAGCGTCTAATGATGAACGAACGAGCACAAGTGTGCGCGAAGGACTTCTCACACGTCACCAGCTGGACCCGGATTCACGGAGCAGTTACGCAAGTACTTACGAACCTGTACATCTTTCCTCAACCTTTGAGGACTTTGGCTACATTTATTAAACAGTTTACAAGCATGAAAACTTCCCACTCCAACTATTGTTATTGTTATAAACAGCCTCCTGGTGCTTCGGAACTCATTAACTGTTTAATACTTGTAAACAAAGCCGCCAAATATCGAGAAAAGATGTACAGGTTCGTAAGTGCTTGCTTAACTGTTTCGTGAATCTGGCCCCAGGCGAGTCAGTTGTGGCAAGCAGCTTGACACGGGCAAACTGCTCGTTATCCAGCTGTCAAGCATCATCTTTAACAATGAAATACTTGACACGACTAATAATTTTAATTTACATTGGAAAAAAATTCTATTTAGAATACACACGGATGAATGTGTCCTTGGGCCAGGCGCCACGTGGACGGGCCCAGCCTGAGGACAGACTGGGTGATGATATTTTTCATTAACAAAAAAAGTGGGGGGTTGATGAGCAGTTTGATGATTGGCCGCTATTTTAACATGTACCAGAAATGACAATTCATTGTTTGAATGGCGCAACGATTAAAAGTTTGAGAAAGTGGAACTGGACGTACTTTAATGTTTTCTACTAATACATACTCATCCTGGGTCATCTACTGATGCATACTCATCCTGGGTCATCTACTGATGCATACTCATCCTGGGTCATCTACTGATGCATACTCATCCTGGGTCATCTACTGATGCATACTCATCCTGGGTCATCTACTGATGCATACTCATCCTGGGTCATCTACTGATGCATACTCATCCTGGGTCATCTACTGATGCATACTCATCCTGGGTCATCTACTGATGCATACTCATCCTGGGTCATCTACTGATGCATACTCATCCTGGGTCATCTACTGATGCATACTCATCCTGGGTCATCTACTGATGCATACTCATCCTGGGTCATCTACTGATGCATACTCATCCTGGGTCATCTACTGATGCATACTCATCCTGGGTCATCTACTGATGCATACTCATCCTGGGTCATCTACTGATGCATACTCATCCTGGGTCATCTACTGATGCATACTCATCCTGGGTCATCTACTGATGCATACTCATCCTGGGTCATCTACTGATGCATACTCATCCTGGGTCATCTACTGATGCATACTCATCCTGGGTCATCTACTGATGCATACTCATCCTGGGTCATCTACTGATGCATACTCATCCTGGGTCATCTACTGATGCATACTCATCCTGGGTCATCTACTGATGCATACTCATCCTGGGTCATCTACTGATGCATACTCATCCTGGGTCATCTACTGATGCATACTCATCCTGGGTCATCTACTGATGCATACTCATCCTGGGTCATCTACTGATGCATACTCATCCTGGGTCATCTACTGATGCATACTCATCCTGGGTCATCTACTGATGCATACTCATCCTGGGTCATCTACTGATGCATACTCATCCTGGGTCATCTACTGATGCATACTCATCCTGGGTCATCTACTGATGCATACTCATCCTGGGTCATCTACTGATGCATACTCATCATGGGTCATCTACTGATGCATACTCATCATGGGTCATCTACTGATGCATACTCATCATGGGTCATCTATTGATACAATCATGGGTCATCTACTGATGCATACTCATCATGGGTCATCTATTGATACAATCATGGGTCATCTACTGATGCATACTCATCATGGGTCATCTATTGATACAATCATGGGTCATCTACTGATGCATACTCATCATGGGTCGTCTACATGGTACAGCTCGGACACCTAGAGTATCATGCGGCTCTAATGTCAAGAGGTCAATGAGATGCACTCCGAGACCTTTACCAAAGAGTACAAGACGAGCACTCGAGGATAATTACCAAAGCTCCACCACCTGAACTCTTAAGCAGAGGTCTTGAGCCGCCGCCGGTGGCAACATTACCCTGGCCGCTGTTTTTTTTTTTGTTTGGGAGTAAAGAGGAAGGAGAGGCATAGGTGAAGGGAAGTATAGAAGTGGGAAATACAGTGAGAGGTTTGAAAGCAGGCGGGCTGTCCGCCTTGCTGACACGATGTGTGGGTGTTGGCAGCTAAGCTAAGCTGGCTCCCTCTTGTCAGGGAGCTGTGAGTGTGTGAGAGGTTCTTCACATGTGTTTCACCATATATGGATGTCTATAGATGAATACTGTGTAGCATTCATATATACACACTCCTATGCTTCCCCACATGTACCCTACCTACCCGAGGTCCCGCCTCTCAACGTGACGGTTGAGAGGCGGGACCAAAAAGCCAGAGCTCAACTCCCGCAAGCACAATTAGGTGAGTACACATGTTCTGTTTAAGGCTCTATTATATTATTTATTGAATTATTCACACACACATTTCTATATATGCCTATATACATATGCATATACACAACTATACACACAATTTTTCCAATTATTCGGGGAAGGATTTCTAGTCAGTATTTCATCTGGGAATTATGTACTGTGGGGCGAGGTTTTCATCTAGTAAATCGAGGCTCTTGGGCCACCAGCTGTGGGAGCGAGGCATCTAATCTTGGAGTAATCTTTCTAACATTGGGTCCTCTAACATTTCGATGGTGTTCCACACCCTGATGGCTTGGTGCTGCAGTCTGATGTTTAGTGGCTGTATGTTCAAGAGTTCATGGAGCTCCTGGATTGTCTGATCATATGGTGGACGGTGTTTTGCTGCTTTCCTTAGCGCCTTATTTTGTACTGCTTGCAGTTTCTGCATGTTAGTTTTCTTTATGGTGTGTAGTGGTACTGGGGGATACTCTAGATGCGGCCGAACTAGAGCCTTATATAGGTGGATCTGAATGTTTGTACTGAGGCTTCGGAATCTCCTCAGTTTTCCTAAGGCTGCTTTGGCTGCTGCCGCTGCTACTCCATCCTACCCTCATCCTACTCTACCCTGCCCTCCCTCCCTGGGAGGGAGGGGAGGGCCTGCCCAACGGTACCACGCCCCCCCAATCCCCAGAACCTTGTGATAGCCCCCCCCCCTCCCCCACACAACACACCCTAATCTTCTACAATCCAGGAACCCCTTCCCATCCATCCCCCCCACACCCCCCACCACTCTGGTCTTGACACGAGTCGACCCAGAGACTCAGTCGTCCCCGGACAGAAAGCAGACAGAGGAAGGGATTTTTCAGAGAAATATCCATGCCGATAAAACCACAAATTGCAATAAGCCACCAAAGCCACTGTAGAATACACAGTGTCACGTGCAAGCTGCAAGCCGCCAGCCTCACGCGACACTAACGCTAAGTTGCCACTTTGTAAACCAAATACACCACAGATAGAATTAAAACTATTGGAAACAAATATATCCAGCAATGACATTCCCCTTCCCCCCCTACCCACAGAGCTTCTCCCCCCACCCCCCACACACACCAGTAACAATCCCCCCCCACCCCACACAAACAAACCAGTGAACCCCCCCCCTCCCTCCCCCACTCCCCCCACACAAACCAGTTGTAACATATCGGAAATTGGGAAAATAAAATAAAACTCACAGCGTGTGGGAGAGAGAGAGGTGGAAGGGAGGAGGAAGAGGGGTCAGGGGAGAGGGAAAGTTTAGAATGAGAGAAAATGAGAGGGGGAGTAAAGTGGTGAAGAGGCAATGTGTGCTGTCACTTTCTACCAAGGGCGCCTGACAGCTGAATGGACAGCGCTTCGGATTCGTAGTCCTGAGGTTTCGGGTTCGATCCCCGGCGAAGGCGGAGACAAATGGGCAAAATGCTTCTTTCACTCTGATGCCCCTGTTCATATAGCAGTAAATAGGTACCTGGGAGTTAGTCAGCTGCTACGGGCTGCTTCCTGGGGGTATGTAACAAAAAGGAGGCCTGGTCGAGGACCGGGCCGCGGGGACGCTAAGCCCTGAAATTATCTGAAGATAACCGTCCATTCAAGAGTTAATTATAAGACAAGGAATGGACCTTGTCTACCACAATATTATCTGAAGTTACCACGTAACAATAAGCAGGTAAATCATAGTCAAGAATCTCTACGTTATAATCTTAAACAAGTACACTTGAGAGTGCTCTCCACTCTTGCTCTCCCTATCATACATCTTGGCGTCACGATTAAAGACAATTTAAAAAAAAGTTAATCAATTAGTTATTTATTTTTCTATATTCACCCATATGAGTATCGTAACTTGACCATTTCACTTGCTGCTCAAATATCAACATTAATTCAGAATTAGTCACCACCACACAGGAATCTGAGCAACTACGGCTGAC